TGCTTAGTATTTTCTTTGTCATGAGTATTGCACATTTCCACATATATCTTCCTAGCAATATTTCTCGTTAGAGCATATGAGTGAAGTTTTCATAAGATGCCCCTAAATTCCCTTCAAAGGCTCTGTGCCAATTTCAATGACTACCATAATATGTGCTGAGATGCTCTGTGGGTGAAGAAATCTCTTTGGGGAGGAGTGGGTTTCTTTGTTATGTTAATGAGGGCATACTGGTGTTTTTAGCCTCGCCGCTTACAAGGTACAAAAAGAACAAATTAGATAGGCACAGCTAAGAGCAGGCACAAATGTGGGAAAGTAGAGCTGATCAAGGAACTGTAAACGTAGCTGCCCCACAAAGATTTTTCCCAGAGTGCACTGAGAGAGCCTTCCTCTAGTACCAGTCCCCTCGGTTCTTGACTTTTAACCTCCGTGGCACCTAACAACAGCCTCCTAAAGTGAGAACTCATCTTGAGGACTAAATTCCACCTGACCCCACCCGTGAGTTTTCACTCGTCTCGCAGACATGGGAAAGCTGTACAAGCAATGAAGATGGTGCATGCCTTTGAGTGATGGTGTAAGATGGTGCATGCCTTTGAGTGATGGTGTTAGCGAAGAACAAGTCTGAAAAAGTACAGAGCCTTAAAAGCGAGGATAGAGAGACTGTCCTGTGGCCTTTGATCATGCTATCAGGAGGGAATGGAGAAGGGACACTGTGCTTGATAAAGTGGCTGGTCAGCGAAAAAGAGGAATACCATCAATGAGATGGATTGGCACAGTGGGTAGAACAATTGTGTGGCTGGTACATTTCTGGGCTGTGTTTTCCTTCACTTGTGCGTACGGGTCCTGGGTCCTGGGTCCTGGACCTGACTTGACAGCATCTAACAGACTGAGAGACTCCATTTCTCTAGTCAAGTCAACCACTTAAGTAAGGTATTTCTTCCAAGATACTAAGATACTTTCTAACAGTTAAGTGAAATGTTAGTGATGACTGACTTCCTTGTGTAAACAATGAGCTTTAATTTGACTTTGGAATGGTCCAAAAGAAGAAAGCTGGTTGTTGTTGGTTTTTTGCATTCCAGGATATATGAGGGGATTGCCCCCCAAAAAAACAATTTTTTTCCAAAGCTATGTATTTAATTGTTTAAATTACTAAACCACCTTATCACCTTCAAAGTACTCTCCATTACACTTAATACATTTGTCAAATCTGCAATTCCATTCTTGGAATAATTGTTTGGATGGCTGACAGCACCTCCGTCATTTTCTTCTTCACCTCTTCTACTTCATCAAATTGCTGTCCTTTCATGTCCATCTGCATTTTCAGAAACAAAAAGAAGTTGCAAAGAGCAAGGTCAGGTGAGTAAGGTGCGTGGGGCTCAAGAGGCATGCTGTTTTTTGCCAAAAACTGGTGCACTGAGATGGCTGTGTGAGCAGGTGCTTTGCTGTGGTGGCAAAACCAGTGCCTCACCTTTTTTGGTAACATGCTGTTATGCAGTCTTTTCAGAACTTCTAAATAGAAACTTGATTGACAGTCTGACCTGGTGGAGCAACCTCCAAATGCACTATCCCCGTCACCTCAAAAAAACAAGTGAGCATCGGTTTTCTTAGGGTACCTCCTCTGTATACTAAATTAGTGATTTTTCTGCCATCTCACGTAAGTTCAGAAATGGTCTGCTGCTTAGTAAACGTAATTCTGAAATCAGGAAATTGCTACACTATGCTCTGGTCCAAATGCAAGGGTTTCTACTAAGACCTTTTGTGAGGATTAGAAAAACATAGGGTCTTAAATCTGTAATTGAATAAAGGATAATTTAGTTTAAAGGGGAACTAGGATTTTGCTTTTAGACAAACTAACCCTATTAACTCCTGAATTTTTAATTTCAGGGAAAAAAATTTTGTTTTTATTCTTTACTTTCACAGTTATCTATATATATATATTTTTTATTTATATATACATTTAATTATATTTTACAAAAACGTCGCTCTCGGCGTTATAGGACTAATAGTGGGACCCCCACTACTCCTTTGTCTTCCGTCAGTTATTAGTAGGTTCCTTTTGCTACTTGTTTTCCAGATTAATTTTAGCACCATTCTACTTTAGTTGTCCCCACCCTGGGCCAAGAAGGAATCTCATTAGGAATCTTTTCCCTCCACATAGTTAGGATACTTGAAATGTGTTGCCCTGAGCAGCAGCTGAAATGCTGACTCTGAACTACTGGCACCTGTTGTGAAGTCCCAGTATTTTGAATTCCTAAACCCCCACCCCTCTTATTTTGGTGTGTGTGGGGGGGCATATCATATTTACTGGCTGATTTTTTTGCATATCATATTTAGTATTTAATAATGGTCATGTGGCAGGTAGAGTTCTAGGAGCTAAATATTAACCACTTTACATTTATTTGGAGCTTGTTATGTGTGACAGCTAGATTTTTTTAAAAATCATTTTATTAGGGGCTCATACAACTCTTATCACAATCCATACACACATAAATTGTGTAAAGTGCATTTGTACATTCATTGCCCGCATCATTCTCAAAACATTTTCTCTCCACTTAAACCCCCGTCATTAGGTCCTCATTTTCCC